AGCACTGTTGCCCTTGGTCTTTTCTTTACGTAAGTCATTGAAGTACTTAATATTTTTCATTACTTACAACTTATCCTAATTTTCCAATTTCATTTTCTTGAATGTCGTATCCTATGCCTGTTCCTTGAAAGGCAGTGCCATTTTCTGCACAGTCAGCCCATGGCATTTTTAAGTCATCCTGTGTAAATCTGCATTTCAAAGCCTTCTGGTCTCCTGATTGTCACTGGGGCCTTTGTCTGCTCTTCTGCTCCTTGCAAAGATCTGGCAAGACTAAGAGCAAAGTCCCAATGAAACTTGGCAGCAAAGAAATTTCCTTATATTCTGAAAAGTTTTTTGTAATAGTTTCAGAATATATATTATTGTGAAATCACAGCCTTGTTGCATTCATCATCATATTAGAAATGATTTTGTTGTTTTTCCTCCTCCTTTAACAGCTGCTGTTTGCTTCAGTATAAATTCATAAACATGATGTGTCTCAGTGGTTTTCAGTCTAGAGCACCCTTGCAAAGCTTTCTGGATCAAACGCTTTTCCTAAACTTGCACAAATATCCACCTGCCTCAACTCAATCCCCTCAGATTTGGTCTATGGAAAAAAGCAACTCTAATATATGAATCCATATTAGATTCAAAACAGCTTCACACTTCTGAGCTGTCTTTGGGGTACTATTTTAAGGTTTATTGGAAGCTATTCAGTGCACTTTTTGCTTTAGTTTTAGATGAGGTAATAAACATTGATGTCAGCCCAACCCTTGGAATAGTCCTTGCATTATAGATTATATTGGACAATGTTTGTTCAATGGCAGCTTTGTCCATTAGTTTTAATAATTCTGCAGAGATGCCATGAGTTCCCAGCATTCTTTGATTGTTATATATTTTAAAGTTTTGCTTATTTATGTTTTTCATTTGACAGTATTTTTCTACTAGCTCTAACATTTTGTCTTGCATCGATCTCAGTTTGAGTTTTTTCTGCTGGAAACTTGTATCAGTGATTCACTAACCCAGGAGTGTCAAACTCAATTTCATTGAGGGCCGCATCAGCATTGCGGTTGCCCTGGGGGGGGGCGGATGGGTGTGGCCAGGGTGGGTGCAGTCTACTGGGTGGGTGTGGATGGAGTGGGTGTGGCCTACTGGGTGGGCGTGGCCAGCTCTACATCATTCGCATCAAGGGTGCCTGTGGGGGCCTGGGCAGGAGTGGGACAGATCTGAGGGTCTCTGACAGAAAGGGGAGGGACCAGGGCAGAGCCCATCAAGCCAGATATGTGAAGTAGGCGAGGGCCATTTGCTGGCCACTTCCAGGCGATGTCCATTTCTTCATTCCTCACAAAGGGTGACACCTCCCCAGCATTCACCCAGGGGGCAGGGCCGATGCGGCAGGGGCTGGTTCCTCGCTGTTTCTAGACGGCCTTGTGGAGCTAAGACTGAATGCATTTCAGCATAAATGGCCACTGCAAAATTGTACATTGGCTCCCAGCCGGCCTGGGCCAGGGCCAAGGCAGCAGGGGCCGTTCCCTCACTGTTTCCAGGATGGCTTCGCGGGCCACATGAAACCACTTTGCGGGCCACATCCGGCCCCCGGGCCTTGTGTTTGACATGTCTGCACTAACCATTTTCTGGCTTTCATTCGTATCATTTATCCACTGGTTTGATTTTCCTTCTGTGGTCATTCCTGGATCATCCTGCAGCTTGTTCTTATTGGTTCTGGTGTTTCTGTTTGGTGTCTGAATCTGCATCTTATGTCGGCTATCTCAAGATTGTGGCTAGAACCTAGAAGAACCAAGGGAACGTAGAACCAAGCTGACGAGTTTGTCTTTATCCTCCATATATGATTTCTAACATTTATATCAGTAAAAATATATTTGATTTCTGACAATGCATTTTAACATACCTGCAGGTGATGCCCAGGAACTGTCTCCTAGAGATGCTACACAGGGCATTATGACGTCAGGATGTGATCCCATTTGTGGATTGCTTTTCATACTGATTATTTTCTTACAGTATACTCTCTTATGATTTTTTTTCTTCCTACTGTTTTTCCACAAGTTCAGGCTCAGCTCCCCCCACCCCCCGGATTTATTGGTTGCATTAGAAATTGACTGACTTCTTTGTTGGCTGAATCTGACATTCTGAACTGAGAGAGAGCAACTGGCCCAAAGTCACCAGCTTTCATGCCAAGGCAGAACTAGAATTCACAGTCTCCTGGTTCCTAGCTTGGTGCCTTAACCATTAGATTAAATTGGCTCTCATCAAGTGTGTTACTGTTATTTCTATATTCTTTCAGGTGCTATCCAGTACATTTCCCTTATTCCTAGGACATCAATTTTTCCATCTGTCTTGCCCACCTCTACAGACTGTCCTGCAGTGTCAGCACAGACTCAGGGATTCTTTGCCCCCTCTGACCATCTCTGCCTGCATCAATGCAGCCATTTTATTAATGTATTAATAATATTCCGGAGATGCCTTCTGACCCAAAAGTCTGTGTTGTACATTTCTCCCATCAGAGAAATCCACCCCTCTTGAAAAATCTGTTTGGGGATGAAAGTGAAACGGGAAGAGCCTGGTAGGAGGTTAATGGTTCCTGCAGAGGCCACCCACCTGCCCCACAGTTAGATTCCCAAGTATCAAAAGGTGAAGGAAGCAAATGGGCGGAGGATCCCGACTCTCTTGCACCCATTTCTGGGGGCCACTGATAAATCCTTTGCTCTCAAGAGTGCCCTTCAAATATTGGAGGGTGTATGAAATCCTTCCATCCTTCCTTCCACGTGTCCTGGATCTCCTCTCAGCTCAAACTCCAGAGGTGGGATTCTGATTGTAGGGATCCTCCTGGAGAAGCCTCTAGTGCAGGGGTAGGCAACCTCGGCTCTTTTACGACTCATGGACTATGCTGACTCAGGAATTCTGGGAGTTGAGGTCCGTGAGTTGTAAAAGAGCCGAGGTTGCCTACCCCTGCACTAGAGGAAGAACTTGGCTGGAGATGAACTGGGCTGGGCAATGCACTTAAGGGCTTGGCCAGCAAATACCAGCAGACAGAAGGCCCAGTGGAGCCCAGGAGAAGCAGGACGCCTCTTCTGCAGGTGGCCCTGGTCACCGGCCACTTGAAGGTCTCAGGACCCAAGACAGCCTTCATTTTCTTTCTGGAACTTGTTAGGTCGTTTGAAAAGGACGAGAGCAAAAATGCAGTTTTCACTATGCTCTGTGTATGAAGCGCTTTCCTTGATACGGCTGACTGGATGGCTCAGAGATGGTGACCCCCCAACAGGAGCTGCTCTTTGGCTCTGAATAGGGCTCCACCAGGGTCCTCCTCGGGCCAAGCCACAGCCTTGAACTATTTCATGTGTACTTGACATTCTCACACGCTTTTCTGGCTCTATCAGCTCAGCGAGCCTTGCTGGAAGCTGCTGTGCACTGAGCTTTGTCAGCTATGCATGGCCAGGCCTCCAGCTGCCCTAAGGAGCTGCCAGGCAGGCAGTGGCCTCTGTGGCCAGGTGTCAAATGCAGATCAGCCTCTGAATATTAATTCTCTCCCTGCGTGTGGGGAGCGGGAAAGCTCCCCGGCATTTCCTCCACGGAGGCAGCCGAGCTTTGAAATCCCTTCCTTCCTTCCTTCCTTCCTTCCTTCCTTCCTTCCTTCCTTCCTTCCTTCCTTCCTTCCTTCCTTCCTTCCTTCCTTCCTTGCCTCCCTGCCTCCCTCCCTCCCTCCCCTGCCACTCCCCTTCTCTCCCTCCCTTCTTTCTTGCCTCTTTTTCCCTCCCTCCCTCCCTCCCTCCCATCCCCTGCTCCTCCCCTTCCCTTCTTCCTTCCTTCCTTCCTTCCCTCCCTCCATTCCTCCCTTCTTTCCTTTCTTCCTCCCTTCCCTTCCCCTCCCCTGTCCATCCCCTTCCCTCCCTCCCTTCCTTCCTTCCTGGAAAATCATAAATGTCTCTCAGAAAAAGCCTCTTAGGATGGATGGAAACTCTTTTGAGAGGGAAACCTGCTCTCTCTCCCCACCCCATTATTTTTGGCCTCAGTGTCCACAATCATTCCTTCTGCCCATCTCATCCATCCCTCTGGTTGAACCTCTTCCAGGAACTCCCCCTTTCACCTGGGGAGGGGGCTGGAGCCAGTGAGAGTTGTGCCCCCCTCATTGAAGTCAGAACAGTTGGATTTCCTTAAAGGAAACAAGGTGTCCCCCCTCCCCTGCCCAGGATCAGGGTCATCCTTCTGTGGGACACACAACCCAGCCAGGGAGAGAAGTGGGAGCAGCCCCTCACTCGCTGTGTCCTTTGCTCCTCCTCTCCTATCAGCCCAACCGGCTGAGCTGAGTTTGGAGCCCCCCCTCCGGTAAATGGAGAAAAGCAGGAGGAAGACTTGCAGGACTCTGGTGCTGCCTTCCAGGTGTGAACAGAAGGCCCTGATGACACATCCTGGCTAAATCCTTGGGCAGGCTACAGGAATGTGTCTCAGCCGGACTTCAGCTCCCAGAGTTCCTCAGCCAGCATTCCTCAGCCAGGGCCTTGTGAGAATTGGTGTCCAAGCTCCAAGGTTGAGAAACGCAGCACTATCCCGCCCGTGCCCAGTTCCATTTTGTATTTTCAGAGCTTCTACGTGGACTTGTGGCCAGAGATCCCTCTTGGGCCGAGTGGCCAGGTGCTCGCATACATTGCCCTGCAGCCGGTGGCTAGGGAGGGTTTTGGGGCGTTACCAACCAACTTCTGTGGTGAGGCAAGCCATGGTTTTCTGGGTGATGCTAATGATGGGGATTGTAGTCCAAGTTCAGTGCCACTTTTTAGCCAGATATCTGCCGGGTGTTTGTGGGCCCAGGCCCTGCTCTTGGCATGAAAGCGGCAGCATCCCCGGCGGGAGCAGCCTCGGGCCAGAAGGCCGTCCGAGCGAGGGACGGTGGTCACGTCCTTCATAGGTGAAAGGAAGCATCCCAGGCCTCACCTCGGGTGTCTTTTGATAAGGAGCAGGTTGCAAATTCTGACCTTGAACTTTCTCCTTTCTCTTTTCCTTTTTTCAATCAGGTCATCTCAGCTGTTTCCAGACTTTCTCACCACAGCATCGCTCAGAACAAGGGCATCAGGTAAAACACGGCCCTCTTACTCCACTTCCAGATTCCTTTTTAATAAAAAGCTACTTTTTCGCAACAGATAAATTAATACTTTGCTTTAAACAGAGGCTTATTTGAGGATTGCAAATATCTCCTTCAAAATGTATGACAACTGAATTATCCAAGCGTGAAAATCATGAGTGATGAAGTTGCTGGACTTAGGAGCAGGGAGACCAAGGGTGATTTTGGTCCGCCCCCCCTCCTCTCAGCCCTATATAGTATGAGACCAAAAAACATTTATGACCCAACCCATGCTGGACCACCATGGAAAATTACAGCCCATTCCTGCATGGATCAGGATTTGGGATAACAAAACTATTAATATGTCATTATTAATAATTCAGTTAATGCAAAGAGTTGTCATTTCATTTAGACAGATGTTACAAAATCAATTTTCCATTGTATGCCTCAATTTCTGGGTGATCTATGACTTCCTTAACCCACAGCTCCCATTTCATTACGTGGTTCCTCTGTCCTGCTCTGTTCGGGGTCTCTGGTCTGCAGATGCCCCCGAGGCGCCCCCCCCAGGGCACCCAGAGTTTCCTGCTCACCTTTGCTCCCTTCTAAGGGCTTGTCGGCTTTTTTGGCAGCTGGTTAGCCCCGAGGGCTCAACTTTGCGAGCCTTGGCATAGATTCACTTCCAGCAGTGAATTGTGAGTGTAGGCAGAGTCTGAGTGAGGCCCCTGAGAAATACTGTAGGAGGAAGACATGCTTAGAGAATGGAAACTTCTTAATGTGAAAAATAAAGGCCCCCAAGTGGCCACGCAAGGCTGAGCATCTGCAGCGGGGAAGCAGGGCAGAGACTTCCTGGAAAGGGACTCGGTTGGCTGCCTCTGAGGAGGCGTTTATTGCAAGGGAGCCTGAAAGGAACGTAAGAACGGGGGGGGGCGTGGAGCCCAAAGCAGGTCTGGCAGTGTCTTCTGGTCCTTGAAGAGGGGGTGGGTTATTCTCTGTAGTGCCTGAGAGGAGGACAAGAACCTGCCTGCCGGGTGGATGCCTCACCCAGGGAGATCCTAACGTGGGGAGGGAGGAGCTCCTCTGCAGTGGCCAGCTGGCTCCTGGGGTCATGGGGCTCCTGCCCAGGTGGACCAGAAGGCCTCCCAGATCCCTTCCAACTCTATGATTCAAGTCTGCTCTTGCAGTAGAGGTGGAGAGAATATAAGGTCATGTTTCTAAAAAGGCTAGGTCATATAGCAACTGGACCAAAGTTTATTAAAACTGAGACGTTCCGTTACTCATCTAGTAGCTTCTTCAGTCAAATTTTGGGTAGGCAGAGAGTCAAAGAGTCATTGGAATGAACGACTTGCCAGAGACTGCAGGCGGTTTCTCCCCAAAATGAAAAGAAACGTGTAAATGAAGATTCAGTCATCCAGGCCAAAAGTAATACGCTTTAATAAGTGTTGGTCCCGTTGTCATGATTTAACCTTTTCAGATACTTTGGGCCTGGATGAGTGATACTTCATTTACATAAGGTTATGTTCTCTACAGACAATACGTTAAGTTTCACAGATCAGCCCTAAACATCCATTTCTAACCTCAGTCCCTTAACATGTCAGTTGTCAGGCACAGACCCAGGGTTCAAAATTACTTCTTTGTTGCTCAGCCTATGCAAAGGAATATTCTTAAACTAACAGTCAAATTAGATAAGGTTCAAAGCATTCAAGGGGGTGGTGGACTTTGTTCTCTTGTGAACAAAGAGATTCTAAGCTGACTCCTCTCTTGACTCCTTCTCCTGGCTCTGCCAGTCTGTCTCCTGCACAATGGAACCTCCCCAGAAGTTGCTCCTGGGCTGCTTCTGTGCAGGAGACTTCTCAAGGAGCTGCCCTGAGAAAGACTCCCCAGGAGCTCTTGCTCCTTCACCAGAGAAGGATGTCCAGAGGGTGTGCCCCTCCCTTTAGGGACGCCCATGGTAGGAGCCCCTTGGAGCCAAGCCTGAAGCTCCCCAGTGTGGGAGGCCTGCGTGCATGCAGGAAGACAGGAGGAAGGTTGGGCTCTCAGAGGAGAGGCAGGAGGGGACAGGTATGACTCTGGGGAGTGGGATCAGCAGCAACAGCAGCAACTGCTTCTCTTCCCCCCCCCCCACTCCCAAGGCATGTTTTTAAGTGGCACAATGAAGCTCTGTGTAAGGCAGAGCAAGGGCAAATAACTCAGACCTCAGGTTCACCCAAAGGTTTTTTTTGTTGTTTTTGTTTTTTACTAATTAGGAGGGTTGGTACTGATGGGTTGGGCTTTTATTGGAGCTGAGTGGCTGTTTTTTTAAAATCCAGCATAGTTTGGTCTAGCCATGATCTTAAGGACCAGCAGCTGAGAGAGGCAGGGGCTTTGCTGGCACTTGCAAGAAGGTTGGTTCTGCAGGGGGGTGGGGGCAGCTGTCCTGAGGGCCCCTTGGCTGCTTTGGAGCTCTGTCTGAAAGTCAACATGTGCTTCAGTAGGACTCACAACTCTTCCTGCAGAAAGGGGGGTGAAGCTGTCATGCACGTGGGCCACAAAGTCTGTCCACAAAGTCTGTCCGCCTGCAACAGAGGCCTGGGGGGCTTGTTCTGCCTGGCTAGCCAGTGGGTGGCCTCTGCTGCAGCCAGACTGGCCCAGAGCAAGGGAGTGAGGGGCTTCCCAGCAAAGGTTGCTAGGATACATTCATCCCTACCAGGGGTGGTCTTCAGGACTAAGCATTGAGAGAGAGACCGAACCACCTGATATGTCATCCATTCCCACAATAAAGATGTGAATAGGGCTGAACGATGTCTTCTGCCGTATCGGCCAAAAGCTGAAGCATCTGCACAGCTCGGGATGCTGCCCACTCGGGATTTTACAGAGACCAGGACTCCAAAGCCCCCCTTGAAGCCAAGGAGTCCGGCTCTGCCCCATCCAGGATCCAAGCAAAGCAGCAGCAGCAGCTGCCCAGCCTCCACACTCTCCCTGAGGGAAGGTTTTGGTGGCCAGCAAGAAGCCAGGAAAAGCTGCTTGTTGTTGGAAGCTGGAAGCTGGAACAGGGTCTGCACATTTTTACATCTTTATTTGGTCCTCATTGGCATGGAAGGAAAGTGCTTCTTTGCTTGAACAGCACAGAAGCAGAATCCACATCCAGAGGCATTTTGAGCACTTGCGCCATCGTCTCTGGGGGGTGGGGTGGGGTGGATGCCTCTTTGCACAGACTTTGGTTGGTTGGTTGGTTGGTTGGTTTGTTGGTTGGCTGCCTGTTCAGTGCCCACGTCCAGGCAGGGAGGGGCCAGTGCACCAAGGGTGAAAGCCAAAAAGGCCAGGGACACAATCTGCCAAATGAAGCCCCCCCCCTCCCTCGTACCAATGCGACTGGCTCACTGCTCCTCTTTCCTCCAGGCCCTTCCCTTCAGAGGAGACCACTGACAATGAGGACGATGTCTACCGCAGTTTGGAAGAACTGGCGGAGTAAGTCTCCTTGCGAGAGTGATCTGGAGGCCCTCGGGCCAAGCTGCCTGCTGCACCAGCCATGTCCCCGGCCGGGTGGGGGATTTGGCCCCAGGTGTCCTTCTGCAAAGTGGTTGCGTTTTCTCACCGAGATCAGCCCCTCTCCTGGAAGGCCTCTCTCGGGCGCCCTGGCAGTCCTCAGAGGTCCCTCGGGGGGGGGGGGGTCCCCAGGGCCACCTGACAGTCCCGGGCAGCACAGAGCGGGGCAGAGAGGCTGCCATGGCCCCTCCCTTCCCAGGTCAGCTTGGCTCTCTGGAAAAGCTGCTGGGCGAGTGGGACTGAGCAAGGGGCCTGCCTGGCAGTGGACCCCAGCGGCCTGGGGTTGGGGCTTGCTTGGTCAGCAGCTGGAGCTGTTTTTAGTGGTTGCTCTGTGACGTCCATCTGGAAGACAGTTTAACAGGCAATATTATAAAAGGTACATTATATAAAAGGATATATGCATAATTTATCAATGAGATTTTATTTAAGATTTAGATTCTGCTACTTTTGTACTTCAAGGAGATTTATTTCGCATCAGTATTCAATAGGGGGTCAACCCCTCCATCCTTTAAAAAATTAGTGCAGATTACTTTGAGGTGACCACCCCCTTTGTCATGCAGCCACTGGACTTTGCCACACCCTTTTTCTGCCCAAAATACATGTTTGAGATTTGCATTCTGGTTAATCTTTCATTGTGACAGATATGCATCTAAAAGTGGCTTGTTCTCTTTCTTTGTTGTTGTTCTAGTGAGAGAATGGCTATAAATCAAGACAGCACCAAGAAAGAAAAATCTAATATCTATTAAATATTAACAACAAATTAATGATAAATCATAGAAAAACAGTGGAAACATAATACCAGAAGAACATAAGTTTAAACCACAACAAGGAAAGAGTGCTGAGTAAAAGATAGATCAGAAACTAGTCAAGGCATAATCAGTGCTAAAAGCAGGCAGATTAATTCTTAAATTACATCTTTCCCATCATAAGAAACTCTAACTTTCTAAATATTAACCCTAAGGGGGAATAAGGTGGAACCTGCCACCTTTTGGTCCCAGGTTTGCATTAAAGTCTCAGGATGGTAGAAAGCGGAAAGGAGAATCCAGGAGCAACAAGCCTCTTCCTTTCAGCCCAGGAGGCTGCCCAGCCCCGTGGCCGCCACTCTCTTTGGCCAAAGCCAGAGGTGGGAAGAGTCCAGTCTCTGGCCTTGAGAGCCTGGCTGGAGCAGCTCCTTTCTGAGGCCCCTGATCTCACCCCACCCCCACCCCCAGTTCCCATCAGGGCCAGAGCCCAGGAGCTAAGGTGCTCCCCCCCACACACACACCCTGGCTCAGTCGCTGAAGCCTCTGCCTTTTATTCTAGTGAGCATGATTTGGGAGAGGACATTTACGATTGTGTCCCGTGTGAAGATGAAGGAGACGACATCTACGAAGACATCATCAAAGTGGAGGTGCAGCAGCCCATGGTGAGGAGCCTGGCTGAAGGGAGGAGGGAAGACTCAGACTCCTTCAGCCCCTCCCTTTCCGAGATGGCCCCTTTGGAAGTTGGGAGCGGGCTGGGGTGGGGAGGTCGTCCTTGGACCTTCTTCAGTCTTGACTCCCCATCCAAGAGCTCCTTTGGCTGTCAGAGTTCCTGCTCAGTGCCCTCTCCCCATCTTCTGATCCATCCTTATTGCTGAAGGTGCCTGTGGAGGAGGAATCCCTGTGGCAGAGGAAAAATGTCCTAAGAAGCTGAATTTGTGAAGAATGCATCAAACAGGAAGCAGATCACAGGCTGCTGCCTTGATGCATTGTCTGCCTTCCAGTAGTGGAGGCTACGGGGACAATCGGTGGCTAAGCTAACTAAATTATTTGCAAGAGGAGTAAGATTAGTTTGTTTCATACCCCTGGGGTCTCAGATCTGCCAAGAATTAAAGAGATCTAAGGCTCTTGTTGCAAAACTATCTAAAACTGGGGGCAGGAACGAAGTTTCTTGTCTTCGTAGCTCTGGAATAAGCATGAGAATCAGCAGGAAAGGGCTTAGAGAAGGAGCACTGAAAGCCAAAGCTGCCACAAACGCAGCCCTCCCTCCTTCAGGCCACTGTAGGGAATTCACGCTCTGAAAGTTGGGGGAGAAACAGACCCACCATGTCAGATGAACCCAGACGGTGCTCCCTGTCTGCTCCTGGGTGGATTGCTTCTCTTTCTGAGCAGGGGGGGGGGATTTTGTCTTGCCCTCTTTCTCTCGTTCATCTGACGGGCAGGTGGGCCCAAAAGCAGCATGGAAAAAAAGGCTGCCCCCAGCGGGTGGGGAACCAGGTCTTTGATTCTCATTCTCCACAACCGTCGGTTACTTAGCTGCAGAGGAGGGCTGCAGGGGGTCCTCGGAGGGGCAGAATCCTCCAAGATACTTCTAGCTGGCAGTGGTAGAGTAGCACCCGGTTCCTGGGAGATGTGCAGGGAAAGCGGATTATTTAGCAAGACCAGGGAGATTCTCTTGCATTTCACAAAGACCTCTTATACTTCCTTCAGTTTTGAAAACAGAGGAAGGTAAGCAGGCTGTTTATTATGCCAAACGTAACCATGCTTCACTCTGCTTGTTATCTATACATGCTTCAGATCCGGTATATGCAGGTAAGTTTCTCACTGTAAGTGAAGAGGGGTCCCTCTCTCCTTCCCGGGTCTTTGGGTGCTAAAAAAAGCCCCACTTCCTAGCTCTGTACCCAACATTAATGCAACCCCACAAATCCAGTGAGCTCCTGCCTCAAGAGTTAAGGGTGCTGGAGGCACAAGGGTGTCACCGAGTCAACTTCACCCTCTTGAAAGGATTGATGGAAATCCTTCTCCACTCGCCTCCTAGATGTTATTGGTAGCTGCCGCGAGAACCATTCCTGGTGTGCAGAATTGGACTCGGCTCTTATTCTGTCTGTTCTCCCCGTCACACAACATCATTGTTATATGCGGCAGAGAGAGAAGGCAAGCAGCAGAAGCACTGGCTCTACTGAATATTTTGGAGCATTGCTTTGTTCATTGATAAACTCGCCTGTTCTCCAAGGTCCCTCCCCATCTTTGGACAGCTGGCCTGCAAGAATTTGGGGGGGAAAACCGGTTTGGGGAGGGGAGAGAATCGCCATTCTGGTAGAAGGTGCTGAAAGCACAGCTTGCTCTGTGGTGGATAAGTAAACACCTGATTCCCCCCTCCCTCCTGACGGTTGAGGATGAGTTTGGATCTCAGCTGATCTTTCTCGCCCTCCTCCGTGTTTCACTGTGGCACCCTCAAATCTTGGGTGGCTTTGCAGAGTTCAGCCCCAGGCAGATGGTCCAGCTTTGGTCCTTGCTGAGAAGGACAATATAGGTTGGCCTTCCCATAGGTGCCTCCCCCCATCATGAAGGCCACAGGCAGGGAGACATAGCAGGAAGTCAAGCAGGCAGGAGGGGTCTCTCGGGCCTCAGGCTTGGGGTGGGGAGCAGCCCTTCCCCAGTCTGGCCTCAGGCTGTCCAATCCTCTTTCCCTCTTGGGGAATCCATCCATCTTTCAGTAGAAAGTAATTTGGCAGCAGCCTCTCTCTTCTAATGGATCTCTGTGAGTTTGCTGGAGATCCATTCGTCTAGAATGATCTTCTTTGCCTTGCTGGGTCTTGTGGCTTTAGAAGATGCAGCCCAAAGTTCAGGGAGATCCTTCGACTCGCATCGCTGCCTGCCACCCAAGAGTGTTTCAGTGATGCAGATAGGGACCGGTGGACGTCCGTGTGGAAGTCCTTCCTCTCCACCCCAGGGCCGCCTCTGCAGGCGGGGTGGGAACAGTCCCCAGAGCCAGTTCAGAGCTGGGCGTCCTTGGAGGAAAACGCTTTGACCGGAATGCTGGCCCCTCCCACCCTGGGCCTTGGGGCACCAATTTTTTGTGCTGCTTCCTATAGAAAATGGGCATGACAGAAGATGACAAGAGGAACTGCTGCTTGGTAGAAATCCAAGAAACCGAAGCCAAGTACTACAAGACCTTGGAGGAGATCGAGAAGGTGAGTGAGGGGCTCCTCTGAAAGGTCAGCCTTCCCGAGCAGACCTGGGTCAGCCTCTGGGCTCCTCTGTCTCTGGAGGGAAGACTCAAGCAGGCAGAGGCTCCCGGCTGACTCTCGGAGTGGAGTGGCTTTCTGAGAGTTCAAAGGTCACACTTTCACACACAGAAGGGACCGTTGTAAGCAGAAGGTCTTATCATGTTCTACTTTGCTTTTGCAGAACTACATGAATCCATTAAGGCTGATCTTGACTCCACAAGACATGGAAGCCATATTCATCAACTTGGAGGTAACGTCCCTGGGGTTCTGTTCGGCTTTACTATCGAGGCTCTGGGCACGGCAGGCCAGCAGCTTCTGGTTTACAGCAAGCCCTGGGAACCAGCCCTATTTCCACATGCTTCCCCCAGCAAATTGGTTTTTTGAATCCTGATCAGTAATGACAAGCCGTACTTTCTTTTTTAAGCAGGTGAGGATTCAGATTTAAAATATTTTCCTAATATGTTTTCTTTGTTTCAGGACCTTATTAAAGTGCACTTCAACTTTCTCAGATCCATTGATGTCTCCATGATGTCTGGTGGAAGCACCTTGGCCAAAGTTTTTCTTGAATTCAAAGAAAGGTAAGAAGGGAATTGAGGGGAGCTGGGCTGGGAAGGGTGAGCCCCAGGTGTTTCTAGTGGAGAGGGTCCTGGGAGACCATTTCCAGGAATGTTCCCAAGATTAAGGTATGATGGAGGTATGACACTGTGTTGTAGTTCTGAAGGAAACAAGAACACCCCAGATGCAAAAAGACACAATGCAAAAAGGTCCAGTCTGCCAGTGTGGTGATGGAACTGTGAGAGGTTTACATCTCAGTGTTAAACTTTGATTGACCAGCATTTGTTCTTGATTCAGAAATTAATAGCCTCAGTGCTAGCTAGTGCCCTTACTGGGCTCTCCTTTCTGGCCGGGAAGTGACTTTTAAATAGAGATGGCAGAGCTAGGGAGAGAAAAATTTGAAATGCCTTCATCTCTTGTAAACTGCCTTGAAGAAACCCTATTTTGGAAATGAGGGATGCCGTTTTCCAAGAACTTTTACCACACGGTCCAGTTTTTCTCTCAAGAAATAGAACGCCTTCAATGCTAAAAAGGTCCTTTCAATCTGCTGCTATTCTTCGGTCATTTAGTGTCAAGCTGTTGTTTCTGTTTCAGTTTCTGTTTGAGTAGAAACTGTTAAGAGCCATGGAAGCCTTCAGTTGGTGTTATGGCCAGCTGCAGACATGCAGGTAGAATGGAAGCCTTGAACATTCCATGTGGGATCCACTTCCCAGGGAGAAAATGAACACAAAATAGTGCGTTGTACTTGTGGAAAAGACATGACATTCCTAAAGTAGTTGGAAAAGGCCACGCCGTGCATCTCAAGTGCATCGCAGAGGCTGCAGTTTTCAAATTTTTAGAAAGGTCGTTCCTGTTTATTCTGCATGGAATCTTAACGTCCACCTTAAGTCCACGGGGGCGTTTCAGGGAAGATCCAGAACAGCCCAAAGAGCACCTGGAGTGTGCTTGGCCTTGAGGGGAGACAGGAGGGGCCGAAAGAAGTGGGAGAACCAGTCCGGGCCAGGAGCAGTGATTTCAGTTGCAAGGAGGGAGATGAAGCTCTTGATGGAAAGAGCCGTAGGGTGGCACCCGCGACCCAGCAGCTTTGCCAGGGAGCCAACCGCTCTTGCCGAAACAACCGAAACAAAAGCGTTGCAACCTTGCACTTCGGTCTCTCCTCCTTTGGGCCACGTGTGAGATATTGCGGTGCGTGTAGAAAATGGGGGGAGGGGGGCTTGTCTCGTGATGCCCCCGATGTCATATAGGCATACACAGCACTCTCTCTCTCACACTCACACACACACCCACACACACACCCTGTGCAGATGCCACAGGGGGCTTCCTGTCAGCGAAGGTATTCGAGCCCTCGACTCCTGCCCTGAGCAGCGCTGTGCTCGACGGCCTCAGCGACGCATGGCGGCTGCAGGGCTTGGGGAAGAGGCACAACAGCCCCTCTCGCTCTGCTTCTTCTTCGCAGGCTTCTGATCTATGGCGAGTACTGCAGCTGGATGGAGCACGCCCAGAGCACCCTGAACCATCTCCTGGCCAACCGAGAGGATGTCCGGCAAAAAGTTGAGGTAACTGAGGGCTAGGAAACAGAACCATATGGCACTTTTCTCCATTTCTGATATTTCATTCTTTCTGTAAAACTGCCGAGGCTCTCTAAATTATTATTAGTAGTATTTACTAAATTTATATGCCTCCCCTCTCCCCTACAAGGTGACTCTTGAGCAGTGAGTCTTCTCTGTTTTTCCTCTGTCTCGTGGCTGCTTAAGCAATGAAGAAAACCCATCAAAATAATAAGTTTATGAAAAGTAGTTTATTAAATGAATGTGCCTTCCAACTCCCAGCAACTCTGAGCGGTTTACAATTGAGAGAGCATTTAAAAAGGAAAACAATTGTAAAAACGGAAACAAAAAAACAAAATAATGGCAAGGAAATAAACCCAGAGGGGAACAGAAAGAAAGAAAGAAAGAAAGAAAGAAGGAAGGAAGGAAGGAAGGAAGGAAGGAAGGAAGGAAAGAAAGAAAGAAAGAAAGAAAGAAAGAAAGAAAGAAAGAAAGAAAGAAAGAAAGAAAGAAAGAAAGAAAGAAAGAAAGAGGCTCCTAGTGAAGAAATAGCAGAATGATGAAGGCACTCCATGAAAAGGGAAGTCAACCACTATGATGAGTAGACCTGCTCCCCGGGTCCCCCGGAGTTCTCCCGCTCTCTTTGGGGGATGGGATGAACGCTACAGCTTCCAACTCTTTTCAGGGCAGTTTCACAGGCTCCCTGTGGTGGTTTTGCTGGTTTGGGGCAGGACCCTGAGTCGCCTTCTGTGCTGGCAGCTCAGTGCCCCTCCTTCCCACACCTGAAGCAGCCAGTGGATCATCAGCGTGGGCTCTGCTCACGTGGCCCCAGTTTTGGGGCCTCTTTCTTTTCAGGGGGGATCTTCACATGTTCATGGCTCGGCTGGTATCTTAGATCGAGGCAGGTTGATTTCCACTTCCTCTGCTAGGACATACCAGCCACGGAGGTTGAGGGGGGGGGCACCTCTGGAAAGGCATGTGTTGTAGACCTCATCACTTAGCCCGTCTCAGAAACATCCAATCCGGATGTCTTCTGCCAGTCAGTCAGTCAGTCAGTCGGCAGGCCAGGTCGCAAAACTGCTGGGTGTACTTCCCCCCCCCCCGCCCCCTTGCCTGGTGGCTTTTATGCGATCTCTGGCTTTGAAGTGCTTCCAAAGTGCAGCCATGAAACGGTCGAGGTTTCTCAGCTCCAAGGCGTCATCATTGTGGAGGTTGACCATCCGTTCAGCTGCGCCCCCCTCTAATGCCATGGTCACACACCGCACCTCAGCCCCTTCGGTGGGTATTTCCGGGTCATACTCTTGCATGTATGTCCAACACTTGTGCCAGGAAGACCTCCAGTTGCTTTGGGTCTCCACTGGACTTTACTCCCAGAGCCGGTTTCTTGCACCCTCTCTGCCTTGCTGGTGCTGCTCCTGCAGCCGGTGGCAGTAGTAGTTGCCCCCTCGCTTGCCGTGGCTGGAGTTGGCTGGTCAGCAGGATGTTCTATCTACCCAGTCTAGGGCTTCTTGAGCTACCAAAAGCCCCCCTCAGGAACTTTATAGCTTGCTCCAGCATCTAGTCCTCTCGCTGTGGCTCACCTGCGCTCAATTCTTTCCCCAGTTCCTCCAGCTCTAATTGGGTCTCTCACCAGCAGCTGTCACAGCCCCCACGAGTGAATGTCTCTTCCCATTTCTTTTTCCAGACTCCAAGGGACCATTGGGGTCTTGGTGGGTTGTCCTCTTCCAGCCATCTGGATAGATCTAGCCTCCAGGAGGGGGTTTCGAGGATGCTTCCCCCAGGCCTTGATCTCTTCCTGGTTGCTCCCTTAAGCCGACATCATTTTCACGATCCCCATGGTAGAGGCAGTTTCCCCTCTGGGTTGACCACAACTGCACAGCTGGCTTAATGTCAGACCTGCTCCAATCTGATCTCTTAGGAAAGAAAAGCCTTCGACTCCATTTGGTGAAAGCAAAGGTTTTTTTTTTTACTAAGATGTTGGTTGCAGTAAAGTCAAGCCAGGTCTGAAATCCACGCTTGCTGGATACAAAAATAAAATGTAGGTTTGCCCCCCCAGCCCATCCTTTCCCCCGTGACCAGTCCATTTCCAGCCAACCGGAGCTCGCCAAGATGTTTTGAGAACTCTGACAGGTTTGGGGGTAATCCGCTTATTTCTCAGGTGCCTGGCCTTGGGATCCTGCTCTAGTCCTTCTCACCCGTCATTCCCCCCCTCCCAATTTCCTATCACACACACACAAAGCTTTATTGCCCTTTCATCATTCCTCCCCCTTCTTTCCCTTTTCATCTTTCTGCCCCTTCTTCATTTGATGGCAGGATGCCTGTGAGGCCTCAAGCCGAACCAGGCAGAGTTGACTGCAACTTTATGCAAAGCACAGAAGAAAGAGTGGGAAGCCCAGAGCAGAAGAAATTAAAGGCAAAAAAGGGAAAAGAAATAGAGCTAAAACTATTTTTCACCAGAACCATATTCCACAACATTTCTTCTACCCCACGGAGAATCCACTTCTTGTATTGTCTTCTCTTCAGGATCTCCTAACTCATCAGTCCCACCCTGACTTTGCCCCTCTTCTCCTTCCTCTTGGCCGGTTCACCTTCCTTCCTATGTCCTCAGATGTGGCATGGCATGTTTAGCCTCTTTATGGCAGAAGGAAGAAGCCATATAGATAGGGAGATTTTCTCATTCCAGTGCCCAAAAATGAAACCCAGATGTCAGTCAGTGCTCCCAAATTTAAATTCTAGCCTTTTTCTTCTGTCTGTCCTGAGTCAACAGACGCTCAGCCGTTCCCTTCATGGCCTTGAAAAGCACTTGATTGGTGCTGACCTAATGGAACCCTCTTGCTTGCAACTGGTTCCTACCCACCGCCCTCCTTCTTTCTGCTACCCTCGCTGGCTGAGGAGTCCTTGGTGCTCTCCGAGTTTGGTGGTTTTCTTACAGATGTTTCATCACCCAAACTAGGTAACTTCGTCAGTGCAACCAAGCTCAGAGAGCCCCAAGGAGCCCTCATTTCAACCCTGAGCTACAAATATTCTCCTCCATCAGTGCCTTCTAAGCAGTCCACTCCCACTCCATTCAGCTTCTCTGTTCTTCCTGACAGTTCCCTCTACTGCCTTCTAGCGGAGTCACTCGACTGGGAGATGGGCGGCAGAAGCGCCCTCTTGTCCCATTGGTGCAGTCAGTGATGCTCCTTTCAGCAGAGCCCAGCACCCTCCCACTGCTTCGCCATTTGCCTGCTTTGAAATGGCTTTTCCCACAGAAACTGAGAAGCCCAAATCCCACAAGGCCACACGCGTCACACTT